AGCCAGCAAAGTCGAGCGAAGATAGGGGTGATCAGTTCATGGAACGTATTGTGGGAGAGCACCTGAGCTGCAAATTTCTGAATAATCTGCAGCTTGTGGAGGGAAGAGTTGGAAAGTCCAGCAAGCAGGGAATTAGCATCGTCAAGCTTGAATATAATGAAAACACAGCAACACAGCTAGACAGTGGCTGAAGGGGACTCTTGTTTTAAACTATGAACTTCAACCTGCACTTCACCCCCTCCTGCTCCATCTCCTCGGACTTCTCTTCCCTGCTCTCCTCGCTCAACCTCTTCCTCCACATCAACTCCCCCACTCACAGTCACGGCCACCCACTCGACTTGGTGATCACCCGGGGCCTCAGTGTCTCGGAAATCACTATCACCGACAAGGCCGTCTCCGATCACCATTTCATCTCCTTCACCACCTCCACCCCCCTCCCCACCTCCACCAGACCCACCACCATCTTCTACCGCCCCTGGAAGAAGTTACCTCCACAATCCCTAACCGCTGCCTTGGAGTCCTCTGAACTCCTCTCCCTCTGGCCTTCAACCCTCACTGACCCCTCTTCTCCTCTTACCCTCCTCCACAACACCCTCTCCTCCACACTCGACATTCTTGCCCCCATCACCTCTCATACTGTCTCCTACTCTTGCTCCACCCCCTGGTTCACCACCCACCTCCGCTCACTGAAGAGCCAGGTGCGGGCCGCTGAACGCACCTGCCTCAAATCTGGCCTAATGGTCCACTGACAAATCTGGCTGGAGCTCCTCAAAATCTACCGCTCCACTCAGCCTCGGCCAAATCGTCCTTCTACTCCAGGATAATCCCTGTCCTTGAGTGGAGGTGGTGAAGGAGATGAAATGGTGATCGGAGACGGCCTTGTCGGTGATAGTGATTTCCGAGACACTGAGGCCCCGGGTGATCACCAAGTCGAGTGGGTGGCCCTGTCCTTGAGTGGCCCTGTCCTTGAGTGGTTTAGGTCGTACCTCTCCCACCGTCTTCACTTTGTTTCTACGAACGGCTTTTCCTCCGGTCCCCGCACAGTTTCATGTGGTGTCCCTCAGGGCTCTGTCCTCGGTCCACTCCTCTTCACCCTCTATATGCTCCCCCTCGGTGACATTATCCGCAGACATGGGGTTAACTTCCACATGTATGCGGATGACACCCAACTCTATCTTTCCTCCTCTACCCTCAACTCCACGACCACCGATGTCCTGACAGCCTGCCTGTCCGACATCGAGTCCTGGACGAGAGACAACTTTCTTCAGGGTTGTCTAACTTTCTACCTTACCCCAAACCCAGCCCTCATGCCCACCATTCCACCATTGGTAGCCACACTTCAGCAACTATGCCCTGAAACTCTGGAAAACTCTTCCTCTATTCCACTGCCTTGTCTCCTCCGTCCCCATCTTCAGGTTGCAACTGAAGACCTTCCTCTTCAATCATGCCTATGGTCACCCCCCCTCCCCCCGGTTCAGGGTCATGCTCCACCACTGTCAAACACTCTGGGATGCTATCCTGTATAAGGGGCATCATATAAATACAAGTTTTTCTTGTTGACACACGTGACAGATTAATTTTCTGTTATGTGCATGTAGAAGTTAGACTTATTGAGTATGAAAGAAGTTTCACTCAGTATCAGTGAGATTCAGATCTGAAGACTTGTCAGGTGTGCCGTTCTTTGGATGAGATGTTAAATCGAGGTCCTGTCTTCCTGTCCGGGGTGAACATTAAAGATCCCGAGACACTATTGGAAAAAAAGAAGGAGTTTCTCCTGGTGTCTTGGCCAACAATCCAGATAAATTGATAGGTCACCTCATGGCCATTTGTGAGACATTGCTGAACAGAAATTGGATGCTACGATTGCTTCTAAATACACAGCCAAATACTTGTCAGCAATTAATTCTGCTGGCTGCTCCCTGACACAATCAACAAGTCCCTCACCTCAGGCTCTGTCCTACTTCCCCACAAAACTGCTGTCATTGCTCCTCTCCTTAAAAAAAACTGCCCTCGATCCCACCAACCTCACAAACTTCTGACCCCATCTAAAACCTGCCCTTCCTGGTCATTACAAATCAACTTTGTCACACCTTTCCCTCCATTCCCTACTTGAACCCCTCCAGGCCAGTTTTCACCCTGCCCACAGTAGAGATAGCGCTCGTCAAAGTAACAAATGACATCCTCTCTCTCTTTAACCAGGGCTCTTTCTGCCTCGGTCCCCTGGAACTCTCCCCCGGTTCAATACAGTCGATGACGCCATCATCCTCCTTCACCTCTCTTCCTTCATTCACCTTAGTGGGACTTCACTCGCATGGTTCGAGTCCTACTTAACAAACCGCCAACAATAAATCTCGGAAAACAGAAGTCGCTGGGAACATTCAGCAGGTCAGGCAGCATCTATGGAGAAAGGAAAGTGAGTCAACGTTTCGGATCCACAATGCTGCATCAGAACTGACAAAGGGTCGTGGACCAAAAAAGTTGACTCACTTTCCTTTCTCCATAGGTGCTGCCTGACCTGCTCAGTGTTCCCAGTGACTTCTGGTTTTGTTTCAGATTTGCAGCATCTGCAGTATTTTGCATTTTGTTTAAATCTTGGCAAATGTTTTTTCTTGCCTCCCCTGCCCAGTTACTTGTTGGTACTCCAAGGCTCCATCCTTGGCCCCCTTCTTTTCCTTATGCTCCCTCTCGGCAATGTCATCCACAGACATGGGGTGACACTCATATCTACTTCTCTTCCTACTGCAACTCCCAGCCCTCTGATTTCCAGCAGCTGAATGTCGGCAAGACAGAAGCCATACTCTTTGGCTCCCTTCAATGTCTTCTCTCCTGCAGTTCTAAACTTCTCAACCTCCTGAGCTCTCCATCAGACTCACCGAAATTGTGCACAACTCAGGCGTCAGGTTTGATCCCCAGCTTTCCTTTCTACCCCACATCCGATCCCTGACCAGGACCACTTTTTTCCACCAGCATCACAATTGCCAGCCTCCATTTGTACCTCACAACCAAAGCAGCCAAAACCCTCATCCATGCTTTTGTCACTTCCTGGCTGGACTGTTCCAATGCCATCCTCGCTGGCCTCCCCAGCTTCACCATATACAAAATTTAACGAATTCAAAACTCCACCACCCAGATACTCACCTACACAAAACTCTGTACCCTCATCACATGAGTCCTTGCCAGACTCCACTGGCTCCCAATTACCGAATAGATCGATTTCAAGATCCTCTCACTCGTTTTTAAATCCCTTCATGCTCTCGCACCTCCCTACTTATCCAGTTTACTTACCCCACACTGCACCACTTGCTGCCTCCGCTCAGCTGGTTCTGGCCTCCCGTTTGTCCCACATCCCCTCCACTCCACCATCATTGGCCGTGCCTTCAGCCACTATACCCCCAAAACTTTGCAATTTTCTCCCTCAATCCTTTTGCCTTGCCCCCTCCCTCCCTACTTTCAAATCCCACCTGAAGACCTTCCTTTTCGATCGTGTTGACGATCACCTCCCCAACAGCCTCTCCCCCTGGCTCGGGATCAGACTCCGCCAGTGAAGCGAAGTGACACTATCCCGTGTGAAGGATACAAGCTCTTGTAATTTTTAAATGTGTTGATGTTACATCAACACCAACACAGATAAGATGGGCTGAATGACAGTTATATTAAATGCAAGGATTATTTTTATTGAGATTCAATTCTGAAAATTCGCTTTCACTGGACAGAATCTTTCAGCTGAAGTATAAAGACATTAAGTATTTATTATGCTCATAAAGATGACTGATTAAGAAACATCGGGAGACACCGAGCCTTACCATAAGGTAAGGTTAATGGAATGTGCATGGATTATTTATATCGGGTGTTCTTTGTTTTATGAGCAAAGCAATATAAGCAGTTTAAAGCAATATAAGCCAAACAGATCAAAATAGCCTTTCTAAATCTCCCATCAAAGACAATAGATTTTATTATTAAACGCAGTAACAATTGTTAATAGTCACAATTTCACATGGCAATTCTGTGCAGTGCAGACACATTTCCATGCACGCTGTTGTTTCAGGAACCTTGCAGAAATAGTGGTGATGTGATGATACATAACAGACAATTTAGATCCAAGGTAATCGTCTGGACTCATCTTCCTGTCTGATGTGGTTTATGTTGCAGTTTCTGTAGATTACACAGTGTACCTTACACACTCTTTAATTAACGCTTTACCCCTTTCAGTGGTAGCGCTCTCACCCTGAGTCAGAAGGTTGTGAGTTCAAGCCCCATGTTGGGACTTGCAATCACGGTCTAAGCTAATACTCCAATGCAGTGCTGGAGGTGTGTTCCATTGTCAGAGATGCAGTCCTTCGGATGAGACGTTAAACCGAGGTATTGTCTGTCTGTTCAGGCGCTGTTATGGCGCTATTCAAAAAGAGAAGGGAGTCTCTCCGGGTGTCCTGGCCAACAATACTCCAGATAAAATTGGTCACAAACCTCATGGCTGTTTGTGGGATGTTGCTGTGTGTAAACTGACTGCAGCTTTTCACCCATAAACAGACACCCATAAAATACACTTTACAGTAATATCCTGTGAAGCGCATTGAGATGTCTTGATGACCAGATAAGGCATTATATTAAATGCAAAGATTATTATTATTATAAAAAGAAACAGCACAGCCTTGCATCCGAGAAGTCCAGTGTACCACGCTGTAATTTTATTTATAAAACTGGCTTCTTTGCTCCAGCGTTGAAGGCAAAGTTAGGAAACTGTGCTCAAAGTGCTCCCCACAGTCTGAAGCTCTGCTTGATCAGAGACAACATCAATGAATGTCTGTATATTATTCCACTAACAAACTCCACTCCAGCTTAGCACTTAATGGTTCCTGTGGTTTGGGGCTACTTTAACACAATATAACACTGAGAAAATCTTCAATTTAACTTGGAATTCACGTGATTGGGATGATTGTTTATCAGACTCTAAACACACACGCACATTTACAGACAGACATACACACACACATACGCATACATGCACCACACAAACCACTCACGTGCTCACACGCACACACACAAAGAAAAATCCTTTCGATCTTTCAGCTCAGACAGTCGTTTCAATTTTTTCAATAATCTCCACAGCGGACTGCGAGGGAGAAAGAAGACTGCAATCATCCTGGTCCCATCGGCTTTCAGGGCTGGATTCCTCATCGGAACTCAAGTCATCTTCATCCTCATCATCCTCAGTGTCTACCTCACACGACCCTGTGTAGTGCAGCCCGAGTGCATTTATCCCCGAATCCTCCGAGGCAGATGGAGAGGAGCAGTGGTTCATCTGTGGCATGGGCACCTTGTCCGTCACACTGCTATCCTCTGGGCTGATGTGAGTGAGGCTGCTGCAGCTCTCTCGTGCTCTTGTGTGCTCCAGTACAGGAAGGGTCTGAGGTTGGCATTGGACATAGCACATCTTGCCGTTAATCCTCTTGACCTGATAGTTGTCAACAAAGAGTTCTGATATGCTGCAGTACTTTGGCGAGTCGGGTGCAACTGGAGGCCTGAAGAGAGAAGCTGTCTTTAGGAATCGTTCCATCAGCGAGATGGACAGATCCATGGTGTCTGTGTGGCTGTTTGAGCTGTTTGGAATTGAGGTGCTTGGCAGATGCTCTACATGGGTCATAGGCTGGTAGATGTATTTACCTGGAGAAGTCGAAAAATAACATCAAACTTGAGTCAATGGGAAAGCGAAGGCTGAGTGTTAGTTTAGTCTAAGCTAATACTCCAATAGCTTGTCCCTGATATTGCTGTCTGGTAAGCTTTCTTGCTGTTTGTCCAGCTAGGACCATCCTACCTGTTAGGGCTTTGGCTCTCAGGGTTAACAGCGGCTGAGTGGGAGGATTCCTTGCCCCAGAGACTGGTCATCAGTCCATCCATCTCAGTATACAGATGGTCAGTGTATTGGGCAGTTACTTGTCAGCCTAATGAACCTCCTGAAGACAGATTGTGAAAAGCTCCTCTTGCACTCTAGACCTTCTCCGAAAATAAAGCAGCTGCACAGCCTGCACCAATTACTTATGGATCCAGTAGTTCAGGCAGTGTCTATGCTCCAAACACTATTCAATCACCTTGCAGTTCTGTAGCTAGAGCACTCGCCTCACAAGCGAGAGACCTGGGCAGGGCGAAACACTGGACAAGTATCCACATGCCTCTGTTTACCTAGCACTAACTAGGAATCCAGTTGTTAGTCAATTGGTAGACTACTTTCCAGGGGTAATAATCCCATAAAAAAAATTTTTGACACAATTTGGATACTGCTGTGTGCAATTAGCTACTGTATTTCATAGATTCATAGAATTATACAGCACAGGAGGTCAGTGTGGGCACTGCAACCCTCACCGTGTGGGCACTGCATCCCTCACCTTGGGGGCACTGCACCCCTCACCGTGGGGGCACTGCACCACTCTCCGTGTGTCAAAGTTAGTAAAATGTGTTTTGAGTGGCTGTAGATGTCAAGTGTTGATATTGTAAATTCTCTGTGAATTTTCAATCGCTCTATCAGAATGAGTGTAAAGGGAGCATGTCTGGCCAGACGACCCCCCCTCCCGTCAAAAAAAGTGTAAAAGTGACTTTGAGGGACTGTGGGACTTCAGTCTGCATAAAGTAGCCAAGCTTCCTCTCGCCTGAACAAATTTGGTTACAAATTTGGTAAGAGATATTCAGGAGAATTGTGCAGGTGATGGTACAATTGTCCTAAACGCGTCTTACAAAATTTGTAAGTGACCTGCGCAGACCAGGGATTGTCACCTGGACTCTACTGGTCAGAGAGGTGATTCTTCTCCACTTCCACATTCCCGCACCCTCTTTCTTCCCTCTCTGTGTTGAAATTGAGACTCATTGCGCCATCTTCTACTCTAACATTGGTTAAACTCTTCTCTGAGTCAGAAGGTTGTGCATTCAAGCCACACATCAGGACTTGGAACATAAGACTATGCTGACATTCCAGTGCAGTGTTAGGGGAGCGCTGCATTGTTTCAAGTGCTGTCCTTTGGATGAGACATTAAACCGAAGTCCTGTCTGCCTGTTCAGGTGGATATTAAAGATCCTGCATTGCTATTTGAAAAGAGAGTTTCTCTTTTCCAATGTCCTAGCCAGCTAAAAATCAGCCATTCTCTTCATGGCTGTTTGCGGAACATTGTTGTGCACAAATTGCCTGCCTCATTCATCCATAAAACAGTTTTTCACTTCACAATACATGCCTGTGAAGCACTTTGGGTCATTCTCCCAAGGTGAAAGGGATAAAGATTATTATCAAACGTAAAGATTATTCTTATGAATAATAATCTTACCCAGGACCTCAAATCTATGGAGCTTCTTGGTCCCTTCCTCCAACAATCTACAGGCTTCTAAACCAAGCTCGGCATCACACAGATACCACATCTTGACATACCTCAGACCTTGGCTGGTGTCCTGCATCAGGAACTTTGACCATAAATAATAAAGCAACCACAATGACTATATGTGATTGGAATAATAATAATCCTTACATTTGATATAGCGCTTTATGACGTCAGAAGGACATCTAAATCACTTAACAGGAATTATTGTGAAATGGAGTGATTTGATTGTGTATTTGTAGGCAGGCGTGGCAACACAATTACACACATCAATGTCCTACAAACAGCCTAAGGAGTGAGTGACCAATTTTATCTGGGAGATTGTTGGCCAGGACACAGGGAGAAACTCTCTTGTCTTTTTGAATAGTGCCATGGGATCTTTAATTTCCACCTGAACCGGCAGATGAGTCCTCGGTTTAACGTCTCATCTGAAGAGCAGCACCTCCAACAATACAGCACTACCCCCAGCACTGCATTGGAATGTCAGCTTTGACTATGTGATTCCAAGTGCCAATGTGGGAATGGATTGCAGGCATTTACCAAATCAATAGGATCTGAACAGGACCCGGATGCCGTTTTAAGGTGTTAAGTTACTCCGAACACATCTAAGAAACAGTAAATAAGGTGGCTTACAATGGCACCATCCGAGGTGGCAGCACCAGTGAAGCTTGAAGCACTTGCCGTGACTGTGTGTGGCACAGATAGAAAGACCATCACAAGGGTGGAAATCCGGTCGCCCCGCACAGTTCCGAGCCAGAGCCTGAGCTTCATCCACCTTGTCATTCTTCAGAATCTTCCTCACACCAGGAGTCGCTGTCATTTTCCCTCAGACAAGGCAAAGAAGAAAAAAAATGACTGCTCTCACCCAAAAAAAAATTCACTGGGAAAATAAAAATGGTTCTAAAAGTTACTTAGAGAGAGAAATCTCCGATTAAATAACAAATGGGATAATACAGCTCCAGAGGGCTCTGAGAATTGGGGGGTGGATTGAAGATACAAGATCAAAGCTTCTTAAGATCAGAAAATCCGAGGAAATCGCTGTGGGTAAGTGAGGACTTGGCCACAGTAGAGCCTAATTCGAGCAAAAAAAGCTGGTTTCGCTCATACATTCTCCCCGCAGGAAACTGGACTGTGTGTGGTTGGGGTCAGGGAGGGGGTAGAAGTCACGATCAAATGCCCCCACAGCAAAAGTCAACACCAGGCGAGGAACAAAACCACCGCCATTGCAGATCACATCTCCCGCACTGGTGAACACTGGTCTGTTCTGCAATAACAGCGGGAAATCAGCAGTACAATCTTCCGCAAATATTTACAAAGACCGATCGAACGTTGCTTTTTCTGTAAATATGTGTGTGTTATTATTAGAAAATGCTTCGCTCGTGGGAATCTCGGTTATTGGAGGGTTTTTGTAAGAAATGTTCTATGTTTGCAACCGAGCGCAGGGCTGTCCCCTCTCTGCCCTTTAAATCCCCGCGGCGGTGCCTTTTTATTCCGGGCGTCAGGTCCATTCCACTGAGAGAGGATCCGCCTTAAACACAGAGCACAGAGGGGAGAACCCGCCCGTCTATCGGCAGAGGTTCTGGTGCAGGAACACTCTCTCCAACCAAAAGAAAACCCATCTGACTCCTGTTTTCACCGCATTTATCTACAACTCTTCATCGCAGGACTTTCAGTTTCTCTTTCTGTTCAGTTGAAAATAAAATCGAGTGAAGGACAGTCCCACCGAACAAGGCGTGAAAACCCAACTATTTATTCTGCTCAGTAAACTGTGACGTGAAACAGGGCAACTCTCTGCCTTAAAAGGAAGTTGACTGAATTCCTTTTCCTGCCGTCCCTTTAACTCTCTCATTGCCTTAGATCTGAGCTGTATGAGCAGAGTTTCTTGTTTTTTTTGCAAAATGTCTCAAACGCTTCACTGAACTTACAGTGAAGTGTAGTGACTGAGTAACTGCAGGCAACTGTGGCAGCCAATTGGCACACAGAGGTGTCCCACAAAGCCATGAAATCTAACAAGGGATATTCATTGGTCAAAATCGGTGGGGAAGGGCTCTGATTGTGGAGTAACATGCTATTTACACACGTTATCATATGGAGAGCTCAGAATTCCTGGTTAGATCAGCAGATGGTTCCTGCCACCTATCCCCGTCTAGTGTCCCCCACTGTACAGAGAATGTATGTATGCATTGATGGAGGTCTGGTTCCCTTTCCCTCCAGCCTCTACACTCATTGCCAAGGTTCACACACGTGTTAGGAATGCATGCTTGGACAAAATCGGCGGCCCTGCACCTGTGGAACTGTCCCCCCAGTCTATGTTCCTTGCTACAGCAATCTAAATAATCGTTGCATTTGGTACCTTGCCTTATCATGTCATTGAGATGTCTCAAAACGTTTCACAGCATATGTTGTAAAATGGAGTGATTATTTTGTGGGTGAACACGGTAGCCAGTTATGCACAGCAATGTTCCATAAACAGCCATGGAATGAGTGTACAATTTTATCTGGAGGATTGTTGGCCAGGGCATCAGGACAGAGAAACTCCCTTTTCTTTTCCAATCGTGCCAAAGGATCTTTAACATCCACCTAAACAGTCAGACAGGCCTCAGCTTAATGTCTCATCTGAAGGAAAACACCGTCAGCAATGCAACAGACCCCCAGCACAGCAGTGGAGTGTCATCTTAGACCAGTGTGGTACAACAGGAGGCCTGCGGGCAGCAATCAGCTCAGTGGATGATATTGTCGGGCCGGAAACTATTTCCGACTTCACTGCTTTACCTCCCGGCTGTATCTCTCTTCTGGTCCCTCACCCCTCTCTGCCTTCCCTCACACCTATACCATCCCTACCTCATGCTCGGGCCCAACACCTGACTGTTCAGTGCTTTGGGACGTCCTCCCGACGTGAAAGGCGCTCTATAAATGTAATTTTGTTGTCGTGTGGTCAGTCTCCATGAGGCAGAGCAGAGAGTGACAGGAAAAGGGGTGGAGCAGGAGGTATCCAGCCTTGAGCCTGTGTGAGCTGTGAGACACAGCGCGCAGCCGTTGGAGTATTTTGCAATTCTAAATCTACAAAACTATGAGTCTCGGTAGGAAACGCAAGATAATAGAGGATTTTGGCTGCCGCAAGCAGGATTCCCTATTTGAGAAAGGCCCAAGGGCTGCATCCGGCCTGAAACTATTTACAACATTCCAACCTCCTCCCTCCCTCCCTCCCTGGGGAACCTCCTCCCTCCCTCCCTCCCTCTCTGGGGAACCTCCTCCTCCTCCCTCCCTCTCTGGGGAACCTCCTCCCTCCCTCCCTGGGGAACCCCTCCTCCCTCCCTCCCTCCCTGGGGAACCTCCTCCCTCCCCTCCCTCCCTCCCCTCCCTGGGGAACCTCCTCCCTCCCTCCCTCCCTGGGGAACCTCCTCCCTCCCTCCCTCCCTCCCTGGGGAACCTCCTCCCTCCCTCCCTCCCTCTCTGGGGAACCTCCTCCCTCCCTCCCTGGGGAACCTCCTCCCTCCCTCCCTCCCTCCCTCCCTGGGGAACCTCCTCCCTCCCTCCCTCCCTGGGGAACCTCCTCCCTCCCTCCCCTCCCCTCCCTGGGGAACCTCCCTCCCTCCCTCCCTCTCTGGGGAACCTCCTCCCTCCCTCCCTCCCTCCCTGGGGAACCTCCTCCCTCCCTCCCTCTCTGGGGAACCTCCTCCCTCCCCCCCTCCCTGGGGAACCTCCCTCCCTCCCTCTCTGGGGAACCTCCTCCCTCCCTCCCTCCCTGGGGAACCTCCTCCCTCCCTCCCTCCCTGGGGAACCTCCTCCCTCCTCCTCCCTCCTCCCTCCCTCTCTGGGGAACCTCCTCCCTCCCTCCCTCCCCCCTCCCTGGGGAACCTCCTCCCTCCCTCCCTCCCTCCCTCCCTGGGGAACCTCCTCCCTCCCTCCCTCTCTGGGGAACCTCCTCCCTCCCTCCCTCCCTCCCTCCCTGGGGAACCTCCTCCCTCCCTCCCTCTCTGGGGAACCTCCTCCCTCCCTCCCTCCCTGGGGAACCTCCTCCCTCCCTCCCTCCCTGGGGAACCTCCTCCTCCCTCCCTCCCTCCCTGGGGAACCTCCTCCCTCCCTCCCTCCCTCCCTCCCTGGGGAACCTCCTCCCTCCCTCCCTCCCTGGGGAACCTCCTCCCTCCCCCCCTCCCTCCCTGGGGAACCTCCTCCCTCCCTCTCTGGGGAACCTCCTCCCTCCTCCCTCCCTGGGGAACCTCCTCCCTCCCTCCCTGGGGAACCTCCTCCCTCCCTCCCTCTCTGGGGAACCTCCTCCCTCCCTCTCTCCCTCCCTCCCTCCCTGGGGAACCTCCTCCCTCCCTCCCTCTCTGGGGAACCTCCTCCCTCCCTCCCTCCCTCCCTGGGGAACCTCCTCCCTCCCTCCCTCCCTCCCTGGGGAACCTCCTCCCTCCCTCCCTCCCTGGGGAACCTCCTCCCTCCCTCCCTCCCTGGGGAACCTCCTCCCTCCCTCCCTCCCTGGGGAACCTCCTCCCTCCCTCCCTCTCTGGGGAACCTCCTCCCTCCCTCCCTCCCTGGGGAACCTCCTCCCTCCCTCCCTGGGGAACCTCCTCCCTCCCTCCCTGGGGAACCTCCTCCTGGGGCAACGGCAGGAGCCGGTGGTTGGGAGGATACAGCGAGCAGAGCCTTTGCTGCAGTCTGTCAGAAATGGATTGAGACAGAGGGAAGAGGCGGGAGAGAGGAGGAGGGGGAGAGAAGAGGGAGAGAGAAGAGGGGGAGAGAGGAGGAGGGGAGGAGAGAGTGGGTGAGAGATAGAGGGGAAGAGATAGAGGGGGAGAGGAGGAAAGAGAGGGGGAGAAGGTTGGGAGAGGTGGAGAGGGGAGAGAAAGAGGGAAATGGGGGACACTCTCCGCCATCTCTCTCACCTACTCACACACACTTTCTCTCAACTACTCTCTCACTCCCCTTCTCACATCCTCACACTCTTATCCCTCTCACACACCACCTCCCCCCTCTCAACCACTCTCTCCCACCTCTCCTCTCTTCATCTCCTCTCCCATGTACACTCTATCTATCCCCTCTCAAACTCGCTCTCAATCACCCTCTCTCAATCTCCCCCCTCTCTGTTCTTTCTCTCCCCCTCTCCCTCACATTCACTCCCACCTCACATTTTCTCACTCTCCCCCTCTCACACTTTCTCTCAATTTCTCTCTGCTCTCCCTCTCTTAATCACTCTGTCTTTCTCTCTTATTCTCCCTTTCTTCCTTTCACACACATACACACTCTCCCCTCCCTCTATCTCTCCTCTCTCGCTCCCCCCAATACCCCCTCTCTTTACCCCTTATCTCCCCTTCGTCTCTCCCCCACTCTCTCCCCCTTTCTCTCCCCCCTCTCGCTCTCCTCAGCTCTCTATCTCCCAACCCCCCTTTCTCCCATTTTCTCTACCAAGCAGGGATCACTATCTGCAGCAGCAGAAGCCGGTAGTTGGTTGCAAAAGATGCAGTTGGTAAGAGACGTGTTTGCCTTCCTGACAGACTCCGTCCTCCCAACCACCAGCTCCTGCCGCTGCCGTGGGAGGACAATCACCAGGGAGCGAGGGCGGGAGGGCGGGAGGGAGTGGAAGTTGGAATGGTGGGAATGGTCGCTGGCCGGATAAAATCACGGATCACGCTGATTTAAAGTAATGGAAAACCTCAATGTCTTGTTTGCTTGCAAGTCATACAATGTTGAAGTTCAGAGTTTTGCAGTTATGGAGCAATGTATTTGGGTTTTGTTGAGCATTCTCTTGTTGAGGTCTCCATATGCTGAGTTGATACCTTGTATTTTTACTTTGATACATTGAAAAATGTGATGCATATACTTCCAATTGAGATCATCATCAATTAATCATCAAAGTAATACTGTTATAAAATTCAAAACATAGGATTTCTGTTCAATTCTTTCATGTTTCTGGGAGGGAAAAACAGAAAATATTGCTTATATGGCCCACAGACGTTTCTTAAATATGACATCCGACCCTCATTACCCAAAAGATTGGACCACCACTTAGAATCATAATATCATAGAAGCTTACAGCACAAAAAGGCGGCCATTCGGCCCATCATGTCCCACTTCCCCACTCTTACCCCATAACCCTGCAATGTTTTCCTTTTTAAGTACCTGTTCAATTCTATTTTGAAAGCTATTATCGAATCTGCTTCCACCACACTTTCAGGCAGTGCATCCCAGACGGTAACAACTCTGCATTTTTTCTCCTTGTATCCCCTCATATTACCTCTGGTTCTTTTGCTAATCTGTGTCCTCTGATTACCGAACCACCCACCAGAGGAAACAGTTTCTCCCTATTTACTCTATGAAAACCCTTCATAATTTTGAACATCTCTATCATATCTCCCTTCAACCTTCTCTGCTCTAAGGAAAATAATCCCAGCCTCTCTAGTCTCTCCACATAACTGAAGTCCCTCATCTCTGGTATAATTCTGGTAAATCTCTTTTGCACACTCTCCGAGGCCCTGATGTCCTTCCTAAAGTGTGGTGCCCAGAATTGGACACAATACTACAGCTGAGGACTAACCAGCGATTTGTACAGGTTCAACATAACTTCCTTGCTTTTATACTCTATGTTTCCTTGGTTCCTTGATTTGAACCCACAACATTCTGACTCAGGCTGAAACACACAGTAGAGGTATAAAGCTGTGAGCAGGGTGAATGGGGCATCAATAGAAAAGGAGTCTGTTTGGATATCAAAGCAAGGATATTCAGTGTGCCAATAATGCAATAACCGATTGACGTAGAGACATGATTTCCTCATCGGAAAGCATGGGTGAGCGTCGTGGACATTTTTTTTCGGGGATCTCCTATCGTTGATGAGCTATATTTAAAAAATAC